AATTGTGTGAGAGATGGAAAAGGCTTTTTGTGGTGGAGGTCATGAGTTTAGCTAGGCAGCGTTTTGCATGTGGCTTGTCAATGTCACGAATACTTTGATAAAGCATTTATGTAGTATCTGTCAAATCTATGGATATGGGTTAAAGAAATTCATTCAGAAGATATTCCATATCATTTCTTTCATTAAATACAGAGGTATGTACTGGAATTTGGATTATACAGATTGAAACAAGAAAACTATTGACCCTTTTTAGATCCCTTTTTTGCCTTTTTATGCGTCTTTTCACCCATCTCCTGTTCGTAGATTTCTGCTGCCGATTCCCCTGCCTTTCTCTTGGTTTTCGCACTCTTTACACCTACTACTATATCCTTCTTTCCGGATTTAGAAGCATGTTTGACATGCTTCTCGGCCTCTGCCCACCCTGGTGCTCCTGTTTCGATTTCATATCTAAGAGATGGGTTAGTATTTCAGCTTTGAACGGATTATATCGATAAACATACTGGTCTAATGGGAGTGCGTCAATAAGCTCCCTTTGCTTCTCCTTCAAAGCTTTCATAGCCTCATCTCCTCCTTCCTCTAATTCATCTTCGAGCCCCTGTTCCAAAGGTACAAACCTGTCATCCACAATTTCGTCGTCCAAAGCTTCATTTGCATCTGCTCTGCTAACACCAATATTTTCACGCCCTGGCATCTCGGCCTCGATAGCTCCAGAAACTAAGTCGCCAAAGTGTGAACTCATTTTGCGCATTATCTTGATGAACATTGCTAACAGCTGAGATGATGGGAGAGATAATTCCGACTCAATGGCTGTCAGGTCTTTTCTTTGCAAACCAACGGCGAGAAGTATCGATGATTGAATACCAGTAAGTTTGATATCAGACTTCAAGCGACCGGTAAAATACAGATTCGCAAGTGTTGGAATGAGATCTAAGATGACATGATAGTCAAGCATGTTATTTGCATATGATTCCAAGCGCTTTAGATCGAATGGTGACATAAGATTGTCTAGTTCCGATTTCGAAAGTGGCTTAGGTGCAGCTTCTGGATCGGATTTTGAACCAGCGTTTGCTGATTCGTCAATACTCAAGGCTAAAATTGAAGGGAATTCGCTGAATTGGTATGATAGGAGAGACAAGAATCTGCGGTGGAAATCTCGAGAGAAAGCTGACTCCCATTCTCTGTCTTCGCTCTTCTCTAAGGTGCGAACCATAACACAGGTGTGTTCTCCGGTCAATTCGTTGGGTGTTTGTCGAAGATAGAGAGGAACAAATGAGGCTCGTTTCCAGAATCTGTGGAGAGGTTGAGTAAGGCCGTAACTCACACCAATATAATCCAGATTGTCGGGTCGCTTTTCTGATAGCTTCGAGAAAAGGGGTGGCATTTTTCTGATATCTCTAACCTTGATGTTATCATCAAGAAGAGATATACTAGTCAACTCCTCGTCAGTGACACGAGTAATTGTCTCTTCCACATGATCATTCATATCCTCTGAGAGATTAGCGAACTTTCCTTCATAGAAATCAGTAAGGAGCTCGAGAGCCTTGCTTCCATATCCCATCTTGATGTAGTCCGGATTTGTTGCTATTCGCACCACACGTGCTCCAGAGAGACCAGCAAAATCGTCGTCCTGAAATTGTTGACTGACCAGCCAAGGAATGAGGTCACCAGCCGCTCGCTGACCTCTACTGAGGCTGTTCATGACACTCTGCTTGCTGATCTTTCCTTCGAGAGCAACCTGAATCACACAGAGAGGTTCCGGTAAGTGCTTACTGTTCTCTTCAATAGGTGGAACAAGCACAAACAATTGATGAGCAGGAGCATCACTCATCAACTGAAGATCATCTGGGGTATTCTTATAATGACTAGCGACGTAAAGAGCAATCATCTGCTGCAAAAACTTTTCGGAAACATCGTGGAAAGAGAAGAGGGTATCGCGGTTGACATTGAGTAACTGACATTGGGAAGGATCTGGGCATCCTTGAAGAGTGTTTAATCTCGATCGAGGTAGAGTGGCGTCGAGACAGAGCAACTGGTTGAGCCACTTCTCAACGGCATCACCTTGTGCATAACGGATTGGCTCAGACAAGGTAATTTCTCTTAGCGAGCGACCTCCTGAAAAGCTGTTATCGGCACCTTTAGCGGCCGCCTTGCCACTCGATCGATCAGCTACTTCGACATCTGCGGTTCCATTCGTGGTTCCTCTGGATTGTTCTCGGAGCTGTTTGATAAGTTTCAAGGAGAGAGATCTTCCAGTGCCTTCGTATCCATTGATGGTGGATGCCATGAATACTAAATAAGGGCCCATAAGCTTCTTGACGAGTGGTAGCGGTATCGCAGCAGCTTCATCGATGACTAATAATTCGGCTTGTCCAAGAACATGAGCATCCTGCGGTCTGATATATTGGATAGTTTGGCGATGTTGACGATGAATGTTCACTCGAACAATCGCTTTGTTAAAATCGGGGTTGGTAGATTGGATGATTGAGTAGTCGACATGATCCATGTAGTTAAGAGCATCAAAACCCTTAAAGATGAATTCGAATAAGGTCTTCAAGTTCTCTGGACTTGGTGATGTGATAAAAATATTGCTATATCCATGCGCGACGGCTGCCGCTACAGCAACACCAAGAGCTGCAGACTTTCCACGTCCTCTACCAGCAGTCAAAGTTACGGTGTTCCTTAACGTCTTTTCTGCGATAGCATCGACGAATGTCAGCAGAGCTTTGGCCTGGTCTACAGTTTTTGCTAACGTGACGAGTGATCCAACTGGCTGTGTGTCTTGTAGGGCCTCTTTCATACTATCCAATTCCTTTTGCGATTCGCTTTTCGGCTCATCCAAGTCTGGTGGAGGCAGAGCTTTCACATTCTTTCCTCCGGATATTGGCAGAACATTCAACTCATCGTCAATTACCAAACAGGACTCGCATTTTCCAAGGGACAAAATGAATCGCTCGTTAAATCTGGCAGTAACATCATCGTGCGCTTCCGTTCGGTATCGAGAGTGGACATCCATGGACATTGTGTATAATTGCTTTAAGCTGTTCATGCCTTTCAACAACAGAACAACAAGTCCTCCACCTTCGACTGTTTCGATCGTCCTGGCTAATAAATTGGGTGTGAGTGCTTCGAAATCTTGCAATATACACATCCCGAAAGTGTTTCCCAAGATTTTCTCGGTTTCCTTATAGTAAACATATCGGATGTTGTGTAGCGACACAAAAAGCTCGAATGGGTCCTCCGTGTTTGCTTCTCGAATTCCACGTTTAATTTCCTTCTTGATTTTAGTTTCTCTCTTTTTTCGGTGACTATAAGCAGCAAGTATGTTAGTATGAAGCTTGCAAGACAGCGAATATCAATACCGACCTCGTAAACCCTAGGAGCTTGTTTTTGTATGCCCACATAACAGATTTATTCTGTTTCATGTCCATACTGGACATAATGTAGTGTAGATGTACAATGACATCCTTCGTTCTATCTCCAACGACCACAATGAAACTCCGTTTCTTCTCCTGTATGCCATTGCGAATGAGCGCGGGGATGCGCTGATCTCTGTTGATTTGAAAGTTAGTCCTCGAGATATATAGATTGGGAGGATCAGTTCGAAACTTACACTGCTTTGCGTTGGCCAACCATGATTTCCAATTATTTTATAGATCAAATCCTGTTCGATGGCGACATAAACACCAGCAAATTGAGGTATTGATATGCGCCGTAACTTTTTTTTGGCGATTGCACTTATCTCGAACTTTTTTTCGATGGGGCCTTGCGACGCTAGATCTTCTAAAGACTAGCGGATATGCAAGGCTACTGCCGGTACGAGGCTGGACATGAATGTCACAAAATGAAAACAGTTTTAACGGCTGTGAAGATTGAATGGACTGTATTAAAAAGCTTATGGGTATTGTAAATTTATGTTGCTTTATTGCCGATCATGCTTTTTGATACTCCAAATTGTAAAACAAGTTCCCGGAATACGCTTTACTGTAAAGATTCAATAACAATAGCCGAAGCTCCACCACCACCATTACAAATGCCAGCAACACCAATCTTTGCCTTTTGTTCTCTCAACACATTGATCAATGTGGTGACAATTCGAGCCCCGGAACAACCCAAGGGATGTCCGATAGCGACGGCGCCTCCGTTAATGTTGACCTTGGATTCGTCCAATCCGAGAATCTTCATGTTTGCTAAGGCAACAACCGAGAAAGCTTCGTTGATCTCATAGTAATCAACAGCTGAAGCGTCAATGTTGGCGTGCTTCAAGGCTTTAGGAATAGCCAATGATGGTGCAGTAGTGAATTTGCTTGGTGCTTTCTCAGCATCACCCCAGCCAAGAATCTTTGCCAAAGGCTTAAGTCCGAGTTCCTTCAACTTAGCTTCCGAGACGAGGACAAGAGCTGAAGCACCATCGTTGAGTGGTGCAGCATTTGGTGCGGTAACGGTTCCTCCATTTGATAAGAAAGCTGGTCTCATGGCCTTGAGCTTCTCGATGTTCAAGTTCTTGACCTCGTCATCTCTGTCGACCTTGACCGCTGGCTTTCCACGGCCACCGCTAACTTCAACCGGAACAATCTCGGTCTTGAAGAGACCGGCTTCAGTTGCCTTTTGTGCTTTTTGGTATGACCTGATAGCATACTCATCCTGTTGCTCTCTGCTAATGTCGTGATCAACGTGACATTCTTCAGCAGCCATTCCCATATGCTCCTTTTTGTTATAGGCATCTGTGAGGCCATCCTTGAGAACACCATCTACCAAGGTTTGGTCACCATACTTGGCACCACTTCGTAGAGTTGGAAGGTAGTGAGGAACATTAGACATAGACTCTGTACCACCAGCTACAACAATTTCGGCGTTGCCAGTGATAATTGTCTGGGCGGCAAGAATGATTGCCTTGGTACCAGAAGCGCAAACCTTATTGACAGTAGTACAGACTACACCTTCAGTAAGGCCTCCCGCAATAGCACATTGACGAGCAGGGTTTTGTCCCAAGCTGTTCCAATCAGTTGTTACTCTCTACAGACAGGTGTCCAACCTACTTTGCTGATAAAACATTGCCGAAGAAGATTTCCTCAACATCTTCAGGCTTGATTTCGGACACACGCTCAACGGCAGCTAGATATTCATCAGCACCAACATTATCCACATCATGAAGATCTAATGAACTTACCCTTAATGGCAATACCACCGAGTTCAGTTGCAGTCTTGCTAGAGAGGGAACCCAAGAATGATCCAATGGGTGTTCTCACAGCGGAGCTAGAAACATCGAAAGATCAGTTTTTTACATCTATAAAATGATCACGAGTGGAAGAGAGGAAATGTATCCAGAGGAGAGCGAAAGTGGTTGTGATCTGAGAACTGAGGATATATAAAAGCTTACACAATATAAACTGGAGCAACTGTAGACATTTTGATGAGTAAAATAGACAAGATTTGAGGTTTGCAAATATTATTTTGGGGAGAAAGGGGAGGGGAGGAGAGAGATCAACCTCAACAAAGATGTGCCAATATTTATGATAAGGGCGGTGAGTTGGCAGAACAGCAGTTAGCCCCACTAGTTAACCTCAAAATCCCCTGCCACTTTTAGCACCTTGCTTTGTATAAATCTAGGACAATGCAAGAGCAAACCTTTGGACAATATATATTAGAGAAGAAAGAAGAATTCACAAAAGCAGCCAGAATGATAATCTAAATTTAAAGAACTCCGAGGTCGGTATGAAATCTAATCTAATCAATCTCTTCTTAATTCCCCACTATAAATTTATTATTGATTCTATTGGACCAGGTTTACCTGATATGACAAGGCTGTAGCACGTGATTTCAAAAAAAAGTCCCGTCGTGAACCTCGAGTTTTCGACTGAAGTTGGTGACGTTGGAGCTCTATTTTCTTAAACATTTCTTGAATTTCATAACTTTTTCTGTCTTCAATTTACTCACAATGGACGACCTTTACGATGAGTGAGCTTCCTTGAATACTTAAGTCCCTTGTTCAGTTCGATCTCAGCTAATTTCATCTCTTTATAGGTTTGGAAACTTCATTGGTGAGGCCGAGGAATCAGAGGAGGAATCCCAGCATGGCAATGATGCGAGCGCATACGTCTACGATGAATACCCAGAGGAAGCGCCTGAGGAGCCTACGGGTCAGGAGTTGATGGATCTTGATGGTTGGTTATAGCTATTTTGTGGAGCTTAGAAATCTGCCAACTAATTACTCGATGTTTAGATGAAGGACCCTCGAATGCGGTGATATTGCACGAAGACAAGCAATATTATCCCACTGCGCAACAAGTATATGGAGAGGATGTGGAAACTATGGTGCAAGAAGAAGATGCGCAACCCCTCACGCAACCCATCATAGCTCCTGTCGAAAAGAAGAAATTCAACATACAGGAGGCAGATCTTCCACCGGTACATTTCGATCGAGGTTTCATGGCCGACCTCATGAACTACCCCGAACAAATCAGAAACGTCGCCCTTGCCGGACATCTACATCATGGCAAAACCGCATTTATGGACATGCTGGTTCTCGAGACTCACGATATTACTGAGCGATTAGAAAAGAAAACCGGGAAGAAGAAGGATGAGCAATTGCGTTATACAGATATCCATGTTGTCGAGCGCGAACGGGGACTATCCATCAAATCCGCTCCCATGAGCCTGGTGCTTCAGAGTACCAAGGGGAAATCACATCTTCTGAATATCCTTGATACTCCAGGCCATGTGAATTTCGTAGATGAGGTTGCATCTTCGTTACGGCTGGTCGATGGAGTAGTTCTGGTGGTTGATGTTGTTGAAGGTGTTCAAGTTAATACAGAGCGGATCATCAAGCATGCTGTTTTGGAAGGTCTGCCCTTGACTCTCGTTGTCAATAAAATGGATCGTCTAATTCTAGAGCTCAAGCTACCACCTACGGATGCCTATTTCAAGCTGAAGCATGTTATTGAAGAAGTCAATACTGTGATTGAGGCTACTTTGCCTGGCCAAGGAGAGAGCCGAAGACTCAGTCCAGAGAAAGGTAATGTTCTTTTTGCCTGCACCAGCATGGGATGGTGTTTCACATTACAATCATTCGCCAAAATGTATGCGGACAACTACGTGCCCAACAAAAAGCGAGGACCCGGTTTGAACAATGAGGAAAGTGGAATCAATGCCCACGAATTCGCCAGGAGGCTGTGGGGTGACATTTTCTACAACCCCTCAAGGAGGTCATTCACCCGAAAAGGTGTCGAAGAGAGGTCAAAACGCTCTTTCGTCCATTTTATTCTGGAACCAATCTACAAGTTGTATTCTCACACTCTTAGCGAGAGCCCGGAAGATTTGAAAGACACCCTGGAAACACTCGGGATTTTTCTCAAGCCATCACAGTACAAGACGGATGCCAATGTTCTTCTGAAACTTGTTTGTGAACAATTCTTCGGCCCATCAACCGGGTTTGTTGATATGGTTGTACAGCATATACCTTCTCCGGTGGAAGCTGCAGAGAAGAAACTGAAACGTCATTACACGGGTCCATTGGATACGACGGTTGGAGCGGCTATGAAGAATTGCGATCAAGATGGACCATTGGTCATTCAAATAACAAAACTACTAAACACAAGCGATGCTACAGGATTTTATTCGTTTGGGAGAGTGTTGAGTGGTATTGCACGAGCAGGCACTAAAGTGAGAGTCCTTGGCGAAGGCTACTCAATTGACGATGAAGAGGACATGAGTATTGCCACCATATCGGATGTGTGGATCGCTGAAACAAGATACAACATCCCTACAGACGGAGTTCCTGCCGGCAATTGGGTTCTGCTTGGGGGGGTGGATAACTCGATCGTTAAATCCGCAACCATTGTACCCCTTGTTTTACCAAATGAAGAAGAGGCGTATATTTTCAAACCGATAACACATTTCACCGAGTCCGTTTTCAAGGTTGCAGTGGAGCCGATCAACCCTTCCGAACTTCCTAAAATGTTGGATGGTTTAAGAAAGGTCAACAAAAGCTACCCTCTTATCACTACGAAGGTCGAAGAATCTGGCGAACACGTCATTCTAGGCACGGGAGAACTCTACATGGACTGTGTCCTGCATGATCTCCGACGATTATATGCAGAGATGGAGATCAAAGTGTCTGATCCTGTTACGCGCTTTTGTGAGACAGTTGTTGAGACATCAGCTATCAAATGTTATGCCCAAACACCAAACAAGAAGAATAAGATCACAATGGTGGCAGAACCTCTTGACCAGGGGATTGCTGAAGATATTGAAGGTGGAAAAGTTAGCATCAAGAGTCCTGCTCGAGTAATTGGCAAATACTTTGAAGAGAACTATGGTTGGGATTTATTGGCTTCCAGAAGTATCTGGGCATTTGGTCCCGACGACTTGGGACCAAACATTCTACAGGACGATACTATTCCATCCGAGGCAAGTACAATCCAAAAAACATCTATTCGCTTAACCCTTGTTAGTAGCTAGTAAAGAGCTACTTGAGCTACTGTGAGTGCCTGCATAAGGCAAATGGTGGTTATGTTGCACAAAACGGAATTATTCGGTCCTTTTATGCTGACTGATCTACAACAGGTGGACAAAAAGTTATTACTTAGTGTACGGGATACTATCCGTCAAGGATTTAGTTGGGCAGCTCGAGAAGGACCACTTTGTGAAGAACGTAAGTTTCCACTCTTTTTACATTTACCATTTTCCACAGACGCTCTCCTTTTTTCTTTGGCCTGCTGCTCCTACATCTACTCGTAATTGTGGACGACCTAAAGCCACAATATCACTGAAGCAATATGGGAAATTCCGTCCACTATCGTCACACAGACCAACAACTACAACCCTACCCCTGAACTATATTTTTACTGGTCACGCTATCCGAGCTAGTGCTAACGTCCCTTGTAGCAATCCGGAATAGTAAATTCAAGATAACAGACGTTATATTGGCTCCCGAAGCGATCTTCCGGGGTGGTGGTCAGATTATTCCCACCTCCCGACGCGCATGTTATTCTTCCTTTCTAATGGCTTCTCCAAGATTAATGGAACCCGTCTACTCCTGTTCCATGACCGGACCTGCAGATTCCGTCACCTCACTTTACACTGTACTTGCCCGTCGCCGCGGTCACGTCTTATCCGATGGCCCCATCGCTGGTACGCCCCTCTATCGTGTTAGTGGTCTCATACCCGTCATCGATTCCTTTGGTTTCGAAACCGATCTTCGCATTCACACTCAAGGACAAGCAACCGTTTCGCTGGTCTTTGATCGCTGGAGTATCGTCCCAGGTGATCCATTAGACAAAGATGTCATTCTCAGACCACTTGAACCAGCAGGTGCGCAAGCCACCGCTAGAGATTTCGTCTTAAAAACTAGGAGAAGAAAGGGTCTCAGTGAGGATGTAAGTGTAGCCAAGTTCCTCGAACCGGAACTCTTTGCTAGTTTGAAAGAAACGGGTATCTTGGACGGATAGGGTTGTCGGGTAAATGGTAAATCTACCAAAACGCGCGTGAACGAAAGCTTGATAAGAGATCTGATGTCTAGGGTGCGATTGTCTCACACTAAGTACATCACAGTGTGATAATCTTCCAAATGGAGAATTGGAATTGATGTGATATAGGCGTTTTTTTGGGGGGGTCGGTTCATGCAGGGCGATTTGAATCTACACTAAACGAAACTAAACGTAAAATAATCGAGAATTTGTATATGTATTTGTATATGTATATGCATGATTTTTAGAGTGTATCACAGTGCATGTGCATGTGCATGTGTGCATGTGCGTGCATTCAAAATACTGGTATCAGAGAGATGTAGTAAAACCTACCATGGTCCATGATGTATATATACTATGTACTGGTGCGTGGGTCGTTGATTAAACGAACCCTAGGAGATATTTATATTTCTGCATGAAACGGTTTGACTGTTACTGTGACTGCAACTGCAACTGCAACTGCAACTGCAACTGCAACTGCAAGTGCAAGTGTAACCGTAACTGTAACTGCAACTGTACTCTATTATTCTGCATACATATCTACTGCAGATAAGACAGCACGGAGTAGATATTGTTGGGAGGGGGGGGCGGGGGTTAGCTAATTGGTATACTCGAGTAGGTATATTGTTGTAATTTAGTACAGTGGTTTGGTATCAGTGCCAGGGCTATTTTATTTGTGTTATTTGTATTTGTATTTGTATTTGTATCAGCAGTATGAGGTGTTTGAGATACAAAGTATTTGTTTGTTTATTTGTTTGCTTATGTTTATGTTTATATTATATATTTTCATATATTTCTCAATATAAAGAAGAGGTGATAGTATAGTATTAGTAAAGTATAGTGAGATGTTCTATATAGAGATTAAAATAGATCGCTAGATGAATATAATATTCTTATAGAATATCATTTTCTCTTAATATACTCGAGTATAGTCGAGAACAACCAAATCTCACTTAAAAATATTTAGTTATATAATTTGGAATTTTCTATTATATTATATACAGAATAATACTTTTAATTATATCAATTGAATAAAAAGTTATAAAAGTCAAAAATCACTATCTTTGGTATAAAACGGTGGCCTGAAAGTAGGGTAGTAGACTTAGATGTTGGAGTAGTATATGGGCCATTGAAGCGATATCATACTAAAGAGATGGATCAGTATAATCGAGCCGGCATTCGACGAATTCAACACTACGAATGTCTAGAAGAAAGACCTTACATCTGAACTTATTCTAGCTGGATGGAAAGGGGCTGGTTTAATGCCTTTTAATTCATTCCCGGTACTTCCTTCTCAACCCCCTCAACTGCTTATAACTCTACAAAGACTTACAAATATATCAGATTTGGACTTTTCAGTTCTCAAAAGCTCTCCTCCAGATGGTACTGAGTTACAGCAAGCAAATTCAGTATTTAATACATAGCAAATGATCAAATCACCTGCTTCTCCAATCCGTCGATATGCTAAGAGGGTTACTCACTTGGTTGAGAGCCAGAATGCTGAGCTTTCCATTTTTCAGAAAGAGCTCAAAGAATGCCGAGAGCAACTTGAAGCTCGGAAGAAGCGAAAGTCAGGAAAAAGAGATAAATTACAAGGTGAATTTGTATCTAGTACGGAGGAAGTGTTGAAAATTGCTCGGGATGCTCAAAAAGACTCCTGTAACCAAACGACGATATAGTAGGCCATGCAAACGTCCAATTGAAGAAGTAGAAGAAGAAAATGAAGAGGAAGAAGATAGTGATGATACGAGCGAAGACGTAATAGTAATGGACCACCCTAGGTTGCGCAATATTTAATTGAATTGAATAATATAGGTCTTTTTGACCAAGTTCCCCATAAGTCACGTTAGAATTAATTGCTTCACGTGATGCGGGCGAGGGGGTTGGGGGAGGGGGGTCAGACTGCGGAAAAGCTAAGCTTCAATAAGTGGGAACTATGCTAAATACCATCCATACTAATGGAGACACTGAATTTTGCGAGCCTTAAAATTCAAATTGGCACTGTTTTGCAAAAGCATATCAACACCCGGTTCGAAGCCCCTATCAACCGCCACATGTAACGGCGTCATCCCAGAGTCGTCGTAAGCATCGATATCAAGCCTCCTTCCGCTTTGATCCAAGTAATACTCCAGCAGAGTCCTTAGTACATGCTCGCGTAGGTGTAGGACGGCCAAATGCAAGGCCGACCGTCGCTCGCCATCGACCTCAGTGAAGTTGGCACCACAGCTGAGCAGCGAGTTGACTACGTCCTCGTGGCCCTCGATCATGGCCACCATTAAAGGAGTCCGGCCCTCGCTATCCTTCTCGTTACAATCCACGTTGTTGCATTGTATCAGCCGACGTACAATCCGGTCGTGTCCATTCTGCGCTGCGATATGTAGAGTGCTCAGCCATGCATCGTGCCTTTTAGACTTTGTGTTGGACGAGGGTGAGTCCAGAGACTTGGAATCACGACCGTCGTATGGTAGATTGGCGGAAGGGGTGTTCTGCAAGGCTCCGCTCTGTGTGCTAGTGGAGGGAGGAGCTAGAAGGGCCTGATGGCGTGGGAAGAAAGGATCGAATGCTATTGCCGGCGAGGCTTGTGCTGGACTCGGAGCGGTAAAGTCGAGATTTTGAAAGTAGTCAGTCTCAGACGCCGACTCAGATGTATTTACACCAGATATGAAGCCATCTATTGCATTGAGGTCCCAGAAGTTAACATCGCCTAGGTTAGGACTAGATACGGCTGTAGGATCGCTCTGTTCCACGGTTGTCAGAATGCCTAGCTGGGATGGTGGAGTAGAACTTTGATTTATGCCCGAGCCAGCAATGGAACTGGGCGATGTGCTAGATTCGATTTGGCTTGCAGCGGTAGCCCGAGTTCGCTTTTCGTCTCGTTTTTCTGTAAAGACGAAAATGACACGGTCAAAATTGCTTGCAGCGGACAGAAATGAAAAGTGACTTACGACGGAACAACGCGATTTTGCAGGCGACGCCGCTCAATAGTGTCACTCATTTTTGTTACAACCTAATGGCGACTTTGAAAAAAAAGTTCATGATACATCGGGTTGGGTGCTGCTCCTGTTATCCATTCCGACTTCTTCTAAAAAACTGTGCCGCAATATCAGATACTAACTATCAGATAGCTACGTAGACGGAAGAGGCTAATGCTCACTCATCTATGCATGCTGTCAACCATGTGCTCGTAGATATACTGTATCTTCAGATATCACTTCTCTCATTTTTATGCAGACAGAGAGTACTTTGCCTCTACTCGAGTATAACAACACGACAAATATAGGTATTTCTTTCTTTGGCCTCAGGCGCATTATAGCAAAAATTCTACTAGAACAAAAACGCCCATCTGGTCTGCCCCACTGGTCAATACGAGCGATTAGTCAATAGGATATCCTATTGGTCAACCGGAAAAAGTTATATAAATAAGATATTTGATTGATTAATAGATTTTATTTATATAATCTTTTCTAAACTTTCAAAAATAAAGATATATTTATTATTATAAGATTTAGTATTAAATCATTTTAAATCTAAAATAATATTTCTATTTATCTAATAGAGATTTAGATTATTTAAAATAATTTTATTATAAATATAAAGAATATAATCTCATTATAATAAAAAAAATATAAAGATTAAAGAATAGAGTACTGTTTTATTTAATTTCTTTTTATATATTTCTAGTTATCTCTTTATATAAATATCTTTATTTTAAATCTGAGATTTTAATGAAAAGAAATTAAAAAATATTCTATTAAGCAGGATCAGATCATATATTCGGCATTAGGCCGCATTAGGAACTATTCAATAGCTTTATATAAGCTATTCTATAATCTATCAACTTCTATCTCTTTAATCGAATCAACTCTATATTTCCTTAATCCTAGTTTCCTAATACAATAACAAAATATCAGATGATTATAT